AAAAACTTTTCAAAATCCTCCACAATCAGATACACCTGATAACAGGGGGCAGAACACTACACAAAAAAAAATCTTGACTTATCGCATAGTAATGAATTATTAATATAAAAATGTATTTCTGTTTTTTCTTTTTACATATTCTGTTAAAAGGCCAAATAAGGAATTCAAACAAAAAAAAAGCAATTTTCTGTTTTGTTTTGTTCTTGGATCAGGCTTTAAAGGGTTAAATTGACATAAATCAAGGTTTTAAGTCATAAGCCCTCAATTCTCTGTGTGTGTGCAGATACACCTGGACCAGTTGCGGGTCCGATCCGATTCACCGGCATCACTGCTGAGAAGTGCACGGTGTGGTGGAACCCCCCGGAGAACGACGGCTGTGCTGCCATCACCCACTACATGGTGGAGAAGAGAGAGACATCCAGGCTGTCCTGGGCCCTGGTCACATCCAAGTGTGAAGCTTGTTCTTACAATGCCGCCAACCTCATCAAGGGAAATGAGTATCAGTTCAGGATCTCTGCTGTCAACAAGTTTGGTGTCGGCAAGCCGCTGGACTCAGACCCCGTCATCGCTCAGATGCAGTACAGTAAGTGAAAAGCTTTTCCCTAGAGGCAGCATCTTGGTTTGGACCCACAAACTGCAGAGTCATTCTCATGCTGTCTCCTCTGTCCCCCAGCCGTACCTGATGCTCCTGGTACTCCGGATGCAACACACATAACTGGAAACAGCATCACGATGTGCTGGACCAGACCGAGGACCGATGGAGGCAATGAGATCAAACACTACATCCTGGAGAGGAGGGAGAAGAAGAGCCTGATGTGGGTGAAGGTTTCCTCCAAGAGGCCCATCACAGAGCTGAGGCACCGCGTCACCCATCTGACCGAGGGCAATGAGTACGAGTTCCGCGTCATGGCGGAAAACGGTGCCGGCGTGGGACCGCCCAGCAGCACCTCCAGACTCTTCAAATGCAGAGAGCCAACCAGTGCCCCCAGTGCACCCACTGTGATCAAGGTATGGGGTCTCTGGAATTGTTTTCTTTAATTCTCCATCCCTATTTAAAAAATTGAAACATTACTTCTCCTTTTTGTCGAACAGGTCATTGACTCCACAAAGTCCTCCGTCACCCTGGAATGGACAAAGCCCGTCTTTGACGGTGGCATGGAAATCATTGGCTACAACATTGACATGTGTAAGGCCAGCCTGGAGGAGTGGCACAGAGTCAACAGCCAGATATGCATCCACAATAGGTACACAGCCAAGAACCTGGTACCAGGAGAGCTCTACAAGTTCAGGGTGAGCGCTGTAAATGGATCCGGAGAGGGAGAATCCTCCGAGCTTCCAAACCCCGTTCAGGCTTTGGACAGACTCACATCTCCAGAAATTGACATCGATGCCGACTTCAAGCAAACTCACATTGTGAAGAATGGAGGCACTGTGAGCCTTAACATTGCTTTCCGGGGAAAACCCGCACCCCTGGCCACCTGGTCCAAGGCAAACGGCGAGCTTCCCATCATGGCTGACATCAACACCACAGATTCATCCTCCACTCTGACTATCGAGGGATGCACCAGATACGAGGCTGGCAAATACACGCTCTCTCTAGAGAACAACAGCGGGCACAAGTCGATCACCTTCACTGTTAAAGTTCTGGATACCCCTGGGCCTCCTGGAGTCATCAGCTTCAAAGACGTTACTCGCGGGGCCCTGACGATGCTGTGGGACGCCCCCTCTAACGACGGCGGAGCCCGAATCCATCACTACGTCGTGGACAAGCGCGAGGCAAGCCGTCTGGCCTGGCAGGAAGTCTCTACCAAGTGCTCCCGCCAGATGATCCGGGTGACCGGTTTGGATATTGGCGTGCCATACTTGTTCAGAGTGACTGCTGTGAACCAGTACGGCCCTGGAGAACCTCATGAGATGACAGAGCCCATCATTGCCACTGAGGAGCCCGCACCACCCAAGAGACTGGATGTTGTTGACACCACCAACTCCACTGCCTCTCTGGTGTGGCTGAAACCTGAGCACGACGGAGGAAGCCGCATCAGAGGATACATCGTTGAATTCAGGGCCAAGGGCACGGACCGCTGGGTTTCTGCTGGAGAGACCAAGTCACAGAAGATGCTGGTGGAAGGTCTCACGGAGAACACAGAGTATGACTTCAGGGTCAAGGCCAAGAACGATGCTGGAATAAGCGAACCTCAAGGCACCTTCGGCTCTGTGGTCATCAAGGAGCCTATCATTGAACCAACGGCTGACCTAAGCAGCATCACCAACCAGCTCATCACCTGCAAGACTTCCAACACCTTCACAATTGACATCCCCATCAGTGGCAGACCAGCACCCAAGGTCACGTGGAAACTGGAGGAGATGAAGCTGAAAGAGACAGACAGAGTCTCCATCAAGACATCGAAGGAGAGGACCACTTTGGTGGTGAAAGACAGCAAGAGGAGCGACAGCGGAAAGTACTACCTGATCCTGGAGAACACTGCCGGGGTGATGACGTTCACGGTGACCGTGGTCATCGTCGGCCGGCCAACTCCACCCACGGGCCCCGTGGAGATTTCTGGAGTCTCCTCAGAATCCTGCAATCTGGCCTGGTCTGAGCCAGCCGATGACGGTGGCACTGACATCACCAATTACATCGTGGAAAAACGGGAGTCCGGCTCTGCTTCCTGGCAGGTGGTGAACTCCAGTGTGAAGAGGACGACGATCAAAGTGACTCATCTCACCAAATACATGGAGTACACATTCAGGGTGTGTGCTGAGAATAAGTTTGGAGTCAGCAAGTCCATCGAGTCTGCTGCTGTGGTAATCGAGCATCCATTTGGTAAGTTCTGAGCAACGGCAACATTTTTTGCGAATCCTAATTTTTTTGTTACATTTGCTAAAGTTGAACATATTCTCTTTGATTTTATAGTTCCACCAAGTCCTCCAACTCGTCCAGATGTGGTGTCTGTGTCAGCCAGTGCCATTGCAATCAAATGGGATGTTCCCTATGCTGATGGCGGCAGCAAAGTGACAGGCTACTGGATTGAGAAGAAGGAGAGGAACACCATTCTGTGGGTGAGGGAGAACAAGCTGCCCTGCCTGGAATGCCACTACAAGGTTACAAACCTGATCGAAGGCCTGGAGTACCAATTCAGGGTGTACGCCATGAACCTGGCTGGACTCAGCAAGGCCAGTGAGGCCTCCAGACCAGTGTTGGCACTCAATCCAGTCGGTAAGGATTTAAGTTCTATCTGATTTGTGACATGCCAGCAAATCAGAAAAAGCTTTCTGTTGTATGACGATCCGCTTCAACCCCCTGCTCAGATCCTCCCGGTAAACCCGAGGTGACGGACATCAGCCGGTCCTCGGTGTCGCTGTGCTGGACTCTACCCTTCAACGACGGTGGCAGTAAGATCGTCGGCTACGTGGTGGAGAGGAAAGTCTACAGCACCGACGAGTGGGACGACAACCGCTGGCTCAAGTGCAACTACACCACCATCACAGAGAACTACTTCACGGTCACCAACCTGGGAGACGGAGAGACCTACGAGTACCGTGTCATCGCCAGGAATGCGGCGGGAGTTCACAGCGTGCCTTCAGAGTCCACCGGACCAGTCACCTGCAAGGATGAATACTGTACGTTCCCATTGCTCTGCTTCTGTTTCAGTTCAGACCAGGCAGCCGTGCATGAAGGTAAAATCATGAATGTGGTTTCTTACAGCTCCTCCCAAAGCTGAGCTCGACAGCAAGCTGACAAGTGAGACGGTCACGGTCACCGCGGGCTCCGACCTCGTTCTGGACGGCGCCGTGGGCGGGAAACCAGAACCCACAGTGTACTGGTCGAAGGGCGACAAGATGCTGGAGCTGGGAGAGAAATACTCTCTGACCTACACATCCACCAGAGCCATGGCTGTGATCAAGAACTGTGACAGATACGACACAGGCAGGTACATCCTCACTGTGAAGAACGCCAGCGGGACCAAGACGGCGAGCGTCAACGTCAAAGTTCTGGGTGAGCAGACACGGAAAATCCCGCCTTTTCTCCAATGTGCTGAATTGATTTATTTATTTAATCAGGACAGTGCACATTAATGAACAATCTCATACCTCTGTACAGATTGTAAATGAGCCAGATTCTAGCATAGTTGCTAATTTACATCTGTCTTCCTGAGGCAGGAAGAAAAAACAACACAAAATCACATAATACAATATCAGTTAAAACAAAGACACACGTTCAGACAATGACATTACAATAATAAATTTAGTGATGCCTGAATGTGTGGTCTGACCCTCGCTGTGATTTCTCAGACACTCCCGGGGCTCCAGCTGACAAGATCGTGATCAGCAGAGTGACAGAGGAGAAGTGCACGGTGTCCTGGAAGATTCCCCTGGAAGATGGTGGAGACCTCATCTCTCATTACATCGTGGAGCGGCGGGAGACGAGCCGCCTCAACTGGGTCATTATGGAGACCGAGTGCAAGTCGCTGTCGTGTGTCAGCACCAGACTCATCAAGAACAACGAGTACGTCTTCAGAGTCAGAGGAGTCAACAAATTCGGCGTTGGAGTCCCTCGGGAGTCGGATCCTGTCATTGCCAGAAACGCCTACAGTAAGCTGCAGCACTTATCAACAGTGTTAAGCTGCCAAACCGTGTGCACACATTTCAGTTCTGATCAGATCCACAGATCTACTGTGTCAGAGTTTTCAGATTCAGTTATCAGGAAAGGAAAATTGTATTTCTTTACCGTGGTGTCTTGTTCTCGCCTTCCCCAGCCATCCCATCGCCGCCTGGAGCACCTGAGGCCACGGTGGTCGCTAAAGAGCATGTCATCATTGAGTGGCTGAAGCCTGAGAGTGATGGAGGCAGCGAGCTCAAGAACTACATCGTGGACAAACGCGAAAAGAGCAGCACCAGGTCCGAACTGGTTTCCTCCTGTTTAAGCAAAGCAGCTCCAACTTTCTAAAATGTGAATGGTTATATAGTCTTTGTGTTAATCTGTCCTGATTTATCTTCAGGTGGACTCGGGTGAATAAGACCTACACCATCTATGACACCCGCCTGAAGATCACAGGCCTACTGGAGGGAAGCGAGTACCAGTTCAGAGTGACAGCGGTGAACGCAGCAGGAGACAGCCACCCCAGCGACGCCTCACCCTACATCCTCTGCAGAGACCCCACCTGTAAGTGACCGGATGGAACCAGACATGGCAGCACCTTTAAACAGAGCAGAAACACATGTGCACTTGTTTCCTGATAGCATAAAGGATCAATGGATGGTGCATGTGTAATTTATGTTCTAGCTGAATGTTAAAGCCTTAAAGATAGATAGATAGATAGATAGATAGATAGATAGATAGATAGATAGATAGATAGATAGATAGATAGATCTTGTGTTGTTTTGTCTTCCTGCCTCAGGACGACAGATGTAAATTAGCAACTATGAAATAATCTGGCTCATTTACAATCTGTACAGAAGTGTAAGATTGTTCACTAATGTGCACTGTCCTGATTAAATACATATATAGATAGATAGATAGATAGATAGATAGATAGATAGATAGACTTTCTTCCAGAGTGTCTCTGGTCCTAAAGCTCCAAAGTTTCTTATTTCCTGATAACATGTAGCATCAATGGATGCTAGCTGTGGAATCTGTGTTCTGTCATGTTGCTCTCAAGCTATACTAAGAGTTTAACTGGAGCTGGAGCTGAATGTTAAAACCTCTTTTTGGAAGTCGCTAACATGTAAACATGGATTCGGTCCACAGATACCCCAGCGGCTCCGTCAATGCCTCGCATCACGGACACCACCAAGCACAGTATCAGCATGACCTGGACCAGGCCCATGTACGACGGCGGCTCAGACGTCAGCGGCTACGTCGTGGAGATCCTGGAGGAGGGCGTCGAGCAGTGGTACCGTGCCACCGCTAAGCCTATCAAGACCAATGAGTATGTGGCTGCTGGCCTGGCTTCCAATAAGAAGTTCAGGTTCAAAGTGGCCGCCATCAACGCCAACGGCACCGGAGAGTTCAGCGAACCCAGCGCGGAGGTCGAGCCGCTGGAGAGAATCGGTGAGTTGGCGCCGACTGTTACTGTTACTGACCTCCTCTGTGTGGGAATCATGCTGATCACTGACTCCTCTGCCCCCCCCCTCTCAGAAATGCCTGATCTGGAGCCGGCTGAGGACCTGAAGAAGACCGTGTGTCTGCGTGCCGGCGGCACCCTGCGCCTGATGGTGAACGTCTCCGGTCGGCCGATACCGGTGGTGGCCTGGAGGAAGAAGGGCGTGGAGCTGCAGAGTCGAGGGTACATCGAGACCACAGAAAGCTATACCTCACTCATGGTGGAGAAGGTCAATCGCTACGACTCAGGAAAATATGTTGTGGAGGCAGAGAACCCCTCGGGCAAGAAGACTGCCACCATCCTGGTTAAAGTCTATGGTAAGTCACACAAAGTTTCCACAGATTGGATAAGAGTTTTGGGATAATCTCCTCTATTTAGCTTATTGTCATAGTGATGAGAAATGTAATATTGTGTCTACTCTGTAAGTCGCTTTTGATAAAAGCGTCTGCCAAATGCATAAACATAAACATAATCTAACATCTAAAGTCTTCACCCCTTTTCTCCCTCCTCTCCAGACACTCCTGGTCCACCAGGCTCAGTGAAGGTGAAGGACTACACCAAGGAGTCTGTGGTGATCACCTGGGACGTCCCGAGCATCGACGGCGGTGCTCATGTCAGCAACTACATCATAGAGAAGCGTGAAGCCGACATGAAGTCTTACAAAACCGTCACCACCGAGTGCAGGAAGACCCTGTTCAGGATCACAGGTCTAGAGGAGGGTGTACACTACTTCTTCAGAGTCCTGCCTGAGAACATCTATGGTGTCGGGGAGCCCTGCGAGACGGCAGAAGCTGTGCTGGTGTGTGAGGTTCCCTCAGTGCCTGTGGAGCTGTACATTGATGATGTCACCAAGTCCTCTGTGACTCTGCGCTGGGAGAAACCGTTTTACGACGGCGGCAGCAGGCTGACAGGCTACATCATCGAGGCCTGCAAAGTGGGCTCTGACAGGTGGAAGACAGTGGCCACTGTCAAGGCCTCCGTGTCCCGGCACACCATCCAGTCCCTGGTGGAGAACGACCAGTACTTGTTCAGGATTCGAGCAACCAACAGCAGAGGAGCCAGTGAGCCCATGGACATCGTCTCTCCTGTCACAATCCAGGAAGTCAAAGGTGAACGTCACAACACCCAATGGGACATCACCTACTTTAGCTCTGTTTTTGCAAATGTTAAAAGACCTCAACTGAATTCACCAAATCTACTTTTTTCTTATGTGTTTAGTCATGCCCAAGATCGATATGACCAGCATCCCTCAGAAGATCGTCCAGGTACCCCGCGGCAAACCTATCGACCTCTACATACCCATAAAGGCCAAACCCCCACCGGTCTGCTCCTGGTACTTCGGCGGAGTGAAGCTGAAGGACAGCCTCGACCGCATCAAGGTCGACAGCAATGGCAAATACAGCCACCTCGTTATCCGTGAAACTACCATCAACGACACTGGAAATTACACGCTGGAGGTTAAGAACGCCATTGGCATGGCGACAGAGGTCATTAAAGTCATCATCCTTGGTAAGGAGATCGACACATGCTATGAACTGACTAAAACACGAACAGTCCGACAGCTATTGATTGTGGGATATGGAGAATTTAGTGGAGATTGTAAGTATCTGTGTTAATGGTTCTGTGCAGACAAACCCGGCGTACCGATAGGTCCGATAAAGATCGAGGAGGTTGACGGTGTTTCAGTCACCATCAGCTGGGAGCCTCCAGAGAAGGACGGCGGTGCTAATGTCAGCGGCTATGTGGTGGAGCAGCGTAACGCCCACCAACCAGGCTGGACCACCGTCTCCGAGTCCGTGACAAGAACCTGTTTCAAGTTCACCAGACTCTCTGAAGGAACCGAGTATGTGTTCCGCGCTGCTGCCATGAATCGCTTCGGAGTCGGCAGCTTCTTGCAGTCTGAAGTGGTGGAATGCAAGAGTGCAAAGAGTGAGTTCACCTCCCAACAAAAGCCGTCGTGTGTCTGTCTGTTTAGAAGCAAAACCCAGCTTAAGACTTATGATTTCTTAAGCTGGGTTTAGACTTGGACTCTTTGAAATCATGTTACTTTTCCAGAGCTTTAATTAAATTTTTCATCTTCTCTTATTTTCTTTTTATGTGAAGCCATCCCTGGACCTCCAAGCAGGCCAGAGTTGATTGATGTCACCCATGAGGGAATGACCCTGACCTGGCAACCACCCGAGGACAACGGTGGCTCCACTATTGCCGGCTACATCATCGAACGCAAAGAACCCCGGTCCGACAGGTGGATGAGGATCAACAAGAACCCCGTCACCATGACCAGATACCGGGCCTCTGGGCTGATCGAAGGCCTGGAATATGAGTTCCGCATTACTGCTATCAACTCCAGAGGAGCGGGCAAACCCAGTGAATGCTCTGCCATCACTGTCGCCATGGATCCCATCGGTGAGTGGGGCAAAGCTCTGGGTGCGTGCCGCAATAATAGTGAAAGAGCTTTTGTTGATCATGTCTCTCTTTGTTGTTGAACAGAACCTCCTGGTCCTCCACTTCAGCCCACAGTCACAGACAGCACCAGGACTTCAGTCACTCTGGCCTGGCTGCCACCTGAAGAGGAGGGTGGTTCTGTTATTACTGGCTATTTCATTGAGATGCAGAAGGTGGACCAGGTAGAATGGACACTGTGCAACACCACACCCACCAAGATGTGCGAGTACACCCTCACCCACATGCCTCAGGGGGCAGAGTACAAATTCAGGATCATGGCTTGCAATGCTGGCGGCGCAGGAGAGCCTGCTGAGATTCCCAGCGTGGTTAAAGTCCAAGAAATGCTTGGTAAGAGAATAAATGTACAGAAATTACTAAAGGGATCAGCTGATGTCCTTCTGATACCACAAATATGCCAGCGAGCAAATCTGAATTGAGACATCTCCCGGTTCCTCCTCAGATTATCCTGACTACGAGCTTGACCGCAAATATGAAGAAGGCTATGTCGTGCGGCAAGGTGGAGTCATCCATCTGTCCGTACCCATCAAGGGTAAACCCATCCCAACAGCCAAGTGGACAAAGGATGGGCGGGACATCTCCCATCGCGCCATGATCGCCACCTACGATGACATCACTGAGCTGGTCATCAAGGAAGCACACAAAGACGACACTGGCACCTACGACTTGGTGCTGGAGAACAAATGTGGCAGGAAGGCTGTGTACATCAAGGTGAGTCCCGCGTAAACAGTACGAAGGAAACAGTCTGAGAATCTGACCCAAACTTAAAGAAATCCACACGGTCGAGTCATAACTCTCCGAACGTCTTCGTCTTCAGGTTAAGGTGATCGGGCGCCCCGATGTCCCAGAAGGACCTCTTGAATTTGATGACATTCAGGCCAGATCAGTACGTGTCAGCTGGAGGCCTCCTTCAGACGACGGTGGTTCTGACATCCTGGGTTACACAGTGGAACGGCGGGAGGTGCCGAAGGCCGCCTGGTACACAGTGGGTGCCCGGGTAACAGAAACCTCCTTAGTGGTGAAGGGCCTGAAGGAAAATGTTGAGTACCACTTCAAGGTTTCTGCTGAGAACCAGTTCGGTGTGAGCAGATCTCTTAAGTCGGATGAACCCGTCGTGCCAAAGACACCACTTTGTAAGTACAATCTGTTTTTCCTCTTAGAATCTTTTTTCCCATCAGAAATTTCCACTGAGCCCCTGTGAGTCTGATATGAACACAAATGAAGAGGTTCATGATATGATGTTTTGCTACAGGTCCACCAGAACCTCCCAGCAACCCACCAGAGATCATGGACGTCACCAAGACCACGGTGTCTCTGTCCTGGGCTCGGCCTCGGGACGACGGAGGCTCGCGAGTCACAGGATACTATGTGGAAAGAAGGGAGGTGTCGACCGAGAAGTGGGTCCGTCACAACAAGACCCACATCACAACCACCATGTACAACGTGACGGGTCTCATCCCCGACGCAGAGTACATGTTCAGAGTGGTGGCTCAGAACGACATTGGGCAGAGCGAACCGGGTCCAGTTTCAGAATCTGTGGTCTGCAAAGATCCATTCGGTGAGTTGATGCTTCTTTATTTCCATTTGTCCACAATTGACCCGATAAGTTAACCTAAAGATGATAAAGTGGTATTAGTGGAGCGAACAGCTGACTATGTTGTTAATCTTTGAGCCTTTCTTTGTCTCTGTCTCCCTTCAGATAAACCCAGCCAACCAGGAGAGATTGACATCATCTCCATCACCAAAGACTGTATCACCATCCACTGGCTGAGGCCCGAGCACGATGGTGGCAAAGAGATCCTGGGTTACTGGATTGAGTTCAGGCAGGCTGGGGAGAGTGCCTGGAAGAAATGTACCAAGGAGCGCTCTAAGGACCGTCAGTTCACCATGGGCGGCCTGATGGAGGCCACAGAGTACGAGTTCAGGATCTTTGCTGAGAATGAGGCCGGACTCAGCCGACCTCGCCGCACACCCATGGGCATTAAGACCAAACTGAGCGGTGAGCTATCTATCTATCTATCTATCTATCTATCTATCTATCTATCTATCTATCTATCTATCTATCTATCTATCTAACAGATTTCTGTTGAATCAACACATTACAGTCACCATGGGAAATAATTCTGTTGGCCTTACACCACCAGTAAAAAGTGTTAATAGATGTAAACATTTTTTCTGCAGTTGGTGAAGCTCCAGCGCTGAAAGAAGACATCCAAGACGTAACCACTAAACTTGGCGAGTCTGGCACTCTGACCTGCGGCATCATCGGCAGACCTCTGCCCGAGATCAAGTGGTACCGCTATGGCAAGGAGCTGATCCAAAGCCGCAAGTACAAAATGAGCTCGGATGGCCGTAACCACTCCCTGAGCATCCTGACCGATGAGCAGGAAGACGAGGGCCTGTACACCTGCAGAGCCATCAACGAGGCTGGTGAGATAGAGACCAGCGGCAAGCTCCGTCTGCAGGCGGCGCCCCAGTTCCACCCGGGCTTCCCCCTCAAGGAGAAGTACTATGCCGGGGCCGGCACCAGCCTCCGCCTCCACGTCGTCTACATCGGCCGTCCCATTCCACAGATCATGTGGTTCTACGGCAAGAAGCCCCTGAACCCGTCTGAGGGTGTAATTATTGAGAACACAGAAAGCTACACCCACCTGGTGGTGAGGAACGTCCAGAGGAAGACCAACGCCGGTCGCTACAAGGTGCAGCTCAGTAACAAGTTTGGAACCATCGACACTGTTCTGCGTGTTGAAATCCAAGGTAAAACCTGACTTTCAAGAGCATGAAACGCTCCAAAACAGTATGGGTCATCTTTCCAGTAGAGGCATCTGTGCCTTCTTATGGGAATGCCTCTGTGTGTCTCATGGTTACTTACTCTTCCTGCTTTTTTCCAGACAAACCCTGCATGCCAGAGGGCCCTCTTGTTGTCGATGCCTTGCTCAAGAGCTCGGTTATCATCAGCTGGAAGGTTCCAAAGGACGATGGCGGGTCTGTGATCACCAACTACATTGTGGAGAAACGTGAGGCCAAAGAGGGAGAGCAGTGGAACCTGGTGTCCTCCTCTGTGCCCGGCACCACCTGCCGGGTTCCCAACCTCATCGAGAGCGCTGGCTACTACTTCAGAGTCTCTGCTCAGAACCAGTATGGCGTCAGCGAGTCTCTGGAGATCCCATCAGTGGTCATCATTAAGAGTCCATTTGGTAGGCCTGCTCATGTTGTACTCCCCAGTTCAGATTTCTGTAGCCATGCTGCAGAGAGTGGGGATTTGAGCACCTTTATAACAATGTCTCTCTCTTTCTCAGAAAAACCCGGCATTCCTCAGCAGCCCTTCATTATCAGTTCAACCCGGGACTCCTGTGTTGTGTGTTGGAAGCCCCCAAGCAGTGACGGTGGAGCCAAAATCACCAACTATTACCTGGAGAAACGGGAGAAGAAGCAGAACAAATGGATGTCTGTGACGTCTAAAGACGTAGCAGAGACCAACTTCGAAGTCAATGGCCTGATTGAGGGCTTTGAGTACGAGTTCCGAGTCAAGTGTAGGAACATGGGCGGTGAGAGCGACTGGAGTGAGATCTCCGCACCCATCATTCCCAAGTCCGAACAGGCCCCTCGTGCTCCTGCATTCAGAGAGGAGATCAGAGACATGAATGTCAAATACCATGCCAATGCCACCTTTGTCACCAAGGTAAGACATTGGGAGACTTTATTTTTATGAGCTGAGTGCACATTGTTAGTTCTTGTCCCACAACTTTTCTTTTTTCCTGTGATAAGGTGGTGGGACATCCAAAACCTGTGATCAAA